AGATGAGTTGAGAATGAACACTGAACATGATGAGCGATTATAGAAAAAAAGAAAGAAGTGGTTAATTCTTCAATGAGTGGCACAGGTAGTTCAGCTTTGCGAAAGTACACTATTGACAATGGTTTCTTGCTTTACAAGAAAAAGGTTGTGCTGAGCTCTCACTCTGAGTGGAGAAAGAATATTGTAGAAGAGCACCATTACACTCCCTCTGCTGGCCATTGCACTCCCAAAGCCTACCTGAGCCAGTAGAGCTTTTAAGTTGGTCTTTCGACGGAGAACCTTTGTTGCAACCTTCTTGCTTTCTCCTCTGGTTCAAGCGTAGGATGATGTAAAGCCTTGGAAATATTCAGGTATCAAATCGTATTAAGTCTGAACGATTTCACAATTGTCCAAATTTAGGGAAATTTAATAGGATAGCAGATCGACACTATTCTAATACTTAGAAAATAGCAGCTTGCACAATGTATTGCGTGGCAATCTAAGATCGAAATGAAAGTATTATGAAAAGATCCTTCTCATCTCAAGATTTTGCTTTCGGTATATTTTTTTTGTCGATCTTCAGTGGCACAGCTTCTAGCCCTTCTATTGAGAGGTAAATTGTCTCACTGCATATTGATAGTAACAGTGAATAAATTTACATCCGTGAGACACGAATTTGTAAACACATTCCTCGTCAAGAATTGGTAAATAGTAGCATAACTATTCTTAATGAATTTTAGTTACATAATCTTCGTTTTCCAACTACACCAGCGAAACCCCGAACTTCAAGGACCAAACTCGGAATTTATTCACGGTAAGAACCAAAGCATCAGCCGCAGATTGCGTTTCATGGAGTGGAGATGAGTCCATACAACGGTAAAAATGTTGCCTCGCTTCATAATTTATTGGCATACAAAATCGGAGTAGAAAGCTAGGACTGTCCTCCTTTGACAGTTCTGAATGCTTAGTAGTTCCACATCAAAAACTTCAAACTGTTTCGAGCTGAAGAAGGTGGACGGTCCGACCTGTAAAACCAATCGTCTTTTATCAAGTATACGAGGAAATTCAAACACAAAAATACTTGGTACTAGTTCGTGCAACAAAAACATCCTCAACTCCAACTTTGGGTTTTCGGTAAATAGGATCTCTTGTATAAAAGAACTAATCTAATGATCTAATGTGTTCATGTCATTCTGGGGTTGTCAAGGATTTTGGAGGGTTAACATTCATGATATTCTTGCATTTCAAGACCAAATCCGCCTGAAATACAGACAACAACATTTCTGTTGAGACCTTGATCTTCAAATTCTCAAGTCCCGAGATGTTGAACAATGGATCAAAACTCACAGGGTTGGATGGCAAAGCAGCCAGGACAGTTGGATCTATGGGTGCAGAGTTTGCAGTATTCATGCTCAAATAGAGAAGATATTACGAATTCAAAGAATTTTGGTGAACCTTAAACTAAGTTATCACAGTATAGAGGACTGCCTTCAAAATGCAGGTAAAAGGAAAGGACAACAATTGAAATAGTAACTTGAAATCGCAAGTCTTCTAAAACTTTGCCTCCTAGGCCATGTCGTAAATATCTTAGGTGAGGTGAACTACGCAAGAATAAAACGGACACAAGTACACAAACTACTCGTAGAAGGCTACTCATTTCAACATTTTATAATGAGTTCCGAAACTTCTTGGACTACAAAGTCTTTCCTGGAGCCATTTACAGTTTGTTTGAATGCTCCAACATGTTTAGCATCCCTTATTCGTTATGGATACCAATCAACCAATAAGATTGAAATTACGAGAGGAAGAGAATGCAAGTACACACTATGGAACAATACCAACTTATCAGTAAACCAAGAAAATTAGAGATTTGAGTAAACTGACCGGCGGTCCAAGTTCTGGTGGAATGATTATTCTTCTTTTCCCTCCAGGTTTCATGTCACGAATTCCTTCTTCAAATCCTGCAGTACTTCCTAGTTTAGCAACTTTAACTACTAGTTATCTTTTCCTCCTCCCTCTTCGCCACCTCTTCTCCGTTTCGTTCTCAGGGTGGAGAAGAGGGGTCAGGGCAAAGGACAAAGTACACAAGATTTGATGAACTTGAGAGTTGATTGCACTTTTAACCTGGGACCAATGCATTTGTGCCCATGCGGATTCTGGCCGGAGAACCCTGCGTGTAACTGCTGTCAATACGCCGGCCTGACTCGTTGTATCCAATATAGTGGAACATCACCTGCAAAGTATCTTGAATCAGAGGTGCTCATAACTTAACTGTCACCTTTTACCCTTTTTGGGTAAATTTTTCAAATTCTAGTATTATTCAGAGAGGAAAACAACAGCTTTTAAAAAGCATGAAAGAAAAACCTGTTGACCAGCCTCTGGGCAATCACCTTCACCAACTACAAAATCCCGAAATATAAGCCCCGAGTCTCGTGTGATGTAGTTTGGTGGCGTTACTACCTGAACCTGAAAACCTGATACACACGTTCATATATACATATTGATTCTGCTGGGATCCATAAAAAAACAATGACTCAGTAACAGCAGATTAATTAGAGGAAACAATATATCGAGAGTTTGTATTTGTAAAGGCAACAGTGATACAAACCTTCTCTAATGAAACTTGGAAAGTCTTCGGGTGCATTATTTTCTTTCTGTATCCGCTTGTTTTGTTCAAGTAAGCGCCTTTCATCAAATGGACTTTTACTCTTTGTCTTTGCAGAAGAAGATAAATTTGGAAACAAGCTAGTTGTGACCGAAAGAAATAGGAGAAGCCTCCGACTCAAATTCTCTTCGTAATGTGATATGCCACGGCTCTTTTCCCCAGTTCTGCAAAGCAAAGGTTTATGTAACAGGAATTTTTGTTATTCATCAACAGAATAAAGGGGTAAGGCTAGCCGACATTCACCTCTCCCAGACCCTGCGTAAAGCGGGAGCCTTGTGCACTGGGTACGACGACGATCAACAGAATAAAGGGGGGCAAAAACTAGATAAAATTTGTAAACCGATTAAAGAAAATCTAACCTGTGATGTCTCGAGTCATGACTCGAGCAGCATTGTATTATTTGGTTATTCTGATTCAAATGAATCCTTAGTAAGGGAGCTGGAAGAATTCTGTTTGTCAGTAAGTTGATATTGACAAGAAAGATAACAAAAACATATCTACGCTCACGGTTTAGCTGCTGATAAAAAAGAGAGTGAAAATTTTATAAAGTCAGCATATGGAAATAGTAAGAATTTGGCAAGTTTCATAGCTTCATTCAGTCTTACTGCATTGCTATTCTTCGAGTCAATTTTCTTTGAAGTGGCTTCTCGTGTTAGAAAGGAATAGCGGAGACGTTTAAGTTGAAACTCTTATAGCTATGGCCATTATCATGGACACGCCCAGAACCACCCCAGGAAGAAACCTCAAGCCCCTCACAGTCTCACCCCACCATTTTCGGGTTATCAATTTCTCTATACAGGATGGGGTTGGACGCAGAGGAGGGTTTTAACTTGATATACATTGTTGATTCATTCTCGAATATCTTTAAGCTTTTGCAGCTCTTCAACTAGTTTTTAGTAGGCATCAGAAAATCTAATTTAACAGAAAGCCAAGTCCTTGAGACACCACTTTCCTTCGCTTTCGAAAACTTATTGAATTGTAATTGACAAAGACACTAGATTACCATACGCTGCAAACAAGATAATTAGAGGCAGTTTTTCGTAAACAATTTCTGGGCCTTTCAATAAACTAAAAGTTGCAGTAGCAAAACAGAGAAAAGCCAAGAAAGTAGAAACATTAAGGAAAATAAAAAGCACAATTTAAAGGCATGTACGTTTCTTGTATAAATCAAATTCCAACCCACTAAGATTATCCTGTAGAGAAATGATTTCCGCACGCTCGTTTCTCATTTTGCACAACCTCGTTTATTTTTGTCCATCGATCCTCCAATGGTTTATCTAATTCAAATAACAAGTGTGCGGGGAGAACGAGTGTGCGGAAATCACTTCTCGATCCAATATTCTACATACATACATACATACATACATACATAGAGAGAGAGAGATTACAGGGTTTAAAAGCGAGAGAAGAGGGAATCATCAGCATGGCTCGGCTCGAGCTTTAAGCTTCCGGCATGTATGGGAGTTGGCCAAACACACACACAGAAGGAAAGAAACCGTTATTTGGTGATGTTATCTCTTCAGATTGCTGGTTAAGAGGCAAATAAGTAAATATCATTTAACTCCCCAATGGTTCTTGTTATGTCATTTCCTCCCCTCAAGCTTCTTCAATATTGCCTGGAGGGGTCCAGGCTGACCCAGACCCATCTTTCTTCTCTTGGGGTCCAATTCGATCCAAATATGTCTATTCGGATTAAGCCCAACCGAAAACGCACTTCAAGCTCATAAAGGGCATTTTTTTTTTTTTTTTTTTTTTTTAAGTACATCAATAGTTTTACACTAGGATGAGAAGTTCAACCTAATTTGGTATTGAATTCACCATCCACTAGATTTGAACATAAGACCTCTCACTTTCAAGTGGATAGAAATATCACCAGACCGTAGTACTGAGTGGTCTTATAAAGCGGATTTAGATGCCCGAAATTTTCAATATGTTCAATGCATATAGATCACTAAACAATCTTCAATTTGATTAGTTTTTTGTATATAATGATATTTAAAGAGAATTGTAATTGACACTGTAAAAATATAATTGTACGCTCAAAAATTTTTATATTTAAAAAATAGTTTCCTATTTAAATAGTGATTTAGAAAATAAACAGTTTTGATTATGACATGTGGCTGTATAAATTCCTTGACCACAAGTAGATGAGAAAGAGGGTGCACTTATCGTTGATGAAAAAGGAGGTGGACGTAGTTATAATTCATTGAACAATGGTTTAAAATACAAAGATCTTGTAGCTCAAGTGGGTAGGAATATTTATCAATCCTTATTCTTTTTGTATAGTTCATAATTGGACCCACACAAAACTGAAAATGGAGCAATAGGCCGACTGTAATCTTGACCCCGTAACCCGTTAGTCGAAACATGTTCTGTGGTCTCCCTAGCATTATTTTTTCCCAAATGCAACACAAACACTAGTAGTAAAATTAAACCTTAGAAATGCTTTCTAAACATCCAAAATGGTCCAACAGAGAAAACAAATGTTCATCAAATGTGTAAATAAAATTGATAAACAGATAATACTTTGAGCTAGAACAGCATGAAAAATCCATCTTTCCATAACTCTCCATCAAGCATTGCAATTGTACCATCACCTAAACGAATTAGCAGAGATGTGTTGCGCTCTTGATCGGTCCATCGATGCCACTTTTTGAAGCCTAATCTGCTCTCTAAATTTCGCTATGAACTCGCCCGCCTTCTTATCAACCTCTGAGTCTGCTGCTCCAACATCCACAGAGTTACTACATGTAGCCGCAGCAGCAGCAGCAAGAGCGTCATCTTCGCCTTCATCATCCGAGCTTACTTGAAAGTTTTCCGCCTCACTTTCCAAGTCTTCTTCTTCTTCAGACTCTGCAGCCGCATTGCCACGAAATTCTCGCATCTGCTTCTTCCCATGTTTTGGAATTTCTGGCTTTGGCTGCAAGGGATTGCCAAAATCGAGCTTAGTAGTTGCAGTGCCGAGATCTTTCACGTTGGTTCCTCCGTTTTGCATTGTTTCTTTTCTCATAGGTATAAAATCACCAATGTCTCGCATCTTCTCAACCTTTTCAGGAGTGGTAAGTCTACTACCTCTGATAGTTCTAACCGATTTTCCCCTTGATGAGGATTTGGTGAGGCTTGCAGGTTTAGTATTCAATCCCAAAAAACCTTGCCCCAATTCTTTGCTTTTCAATTGCTCCTCCTCACTTCCGCTTCTGCTTCCTCTTCCGCTTCCACTTCTGCTTCCGCTTCTGCTTCCACTCAAATCCTTCAAGTAATTTTCTGAGGATTTACTGAGGCTTGCAGGTTTCGTATTCAATCCCAAAAAACCTTGCCCCAGATCTTTGCTTTTCAATTGCTCCTCCTCACTTCCGCTTCTGCTTCTGCTTCCGCTCAAATCCTTCAAGTAATTTTCTGAGGATTTACTGAGGCTTGCAGGTTTCGTATTCAATCCCAAAAATCCTTGCCCCAGATCTTTGCTGTTCAATTGCTCCTCCTCACTTCCGCTTCCGCTTCTGCTTCCACTCAAATCCTTCAAGTAATTTTCTGAGGATTTACCGAGGCTTGCAGGTTTCGTATTCAATCCCAAAAATCCATGCCCCAATTCTTTGCTTTTCAATTGCTCCTCCTCACTTCCGCTTCCGCTTCCGCTTCCGCTTCCCCTTCTGCTTCCCCTTCCGCTTCCACTTCCACTTCTGCTCCCACTCAAATCCTTCAAGTAATTTTCTGAGCTTCTCCTCAAGTCCTCCTCATGGAAAGAACCAATGCTATAGCCCCGCGAATGCAACGCACTCAATGAAGCTTTTTCATTCATTGGTTTTGGTGGTGATGATGCAAATCCTGAAGGAGAAGAAGACCCTTGAGAATGGGAACTCTTTCTTTTCTTTACCTTCTCCGACTTTGAGTTAAGCACCTCCGAAGACATGGAGCGCGCTGAAGAGTCTTCTTTTGGGGAAGAAGACAGAGAACTAGTTTGAGAAGAAGACTCAGAAGTAAAGGACAATGCGGACTGGAAAGACGGAGTTTTCATTGATTCAAATTGAGTTTCATCGACGGAGAGCGGCCTCAAATGCGATGGACGAGCATTACCACCTACTCTTTTCCCCCTCTCCATCTTTCCAGAACCCGAACGCCAATTAACCGGAGAAGGTGACGCAGCGGCTTCATTTAACTTATCTTCCAAATTTAGAGGACCCATATCCCCATTCCTAACCCCATCAGAGCTATTAAAAGAACCCTTAGAACCTAAACTAAACTCACCCCTAGCAACAAACTCAGAACTATCATGGCTTTTTACCCTCGATTTCAAACTCCGAACGGGCAATCCCAACGGCTGATTATCAGCAATTGATCTGGGTTTTCCCCATTCATCAAGACCATAATTTGGTTCAGCAACAAACACCATTGATTCACCCTGAAAATACCGAGAGTTCCAAGCTTGGGTAACATTTTTCTCTCCATACCCACATGAATTTTCACCCCCACTTTCACAAATCCCCAAACTGGGTTTGCATTGGGCATCAAAAACATTGCTTTCATGACAAGATTCAGACACAGCTGCCACAGGGTTACCCACAAAATACCCAGAATTCCAACTCTGACCCTCTCTTTTCTCACCATACCCAAATGCCTGTTCACACTCGCCCTCAAAACTCGACGAAACGGGAAAAAATCTAGGCACGTAAGAGTCAGAACTACCTACATTTGAGCTATTTTCAATCCCCATTTCAGCGCTATTTCTTCTGCTGAACAAGCCGTAGGACACGGCAATGCCGACGACGATAACGTGAATGAGCTCCCAGAACTTGGTGAGGATCGTGTGGTTGATGAATTCGGGAGCTTGTGAGGGAAAAAGTGGAAGAAGGACGATGAAAACGGCAAGGGTAAGAGCTTTAAGGAGAAAGTGCATGGTGTACGACTTACCGTGTCGAATCGGGTTTCGGTGAGGTTCTGGGCGCGGATCGGAGACTGGGAAGTGGGGTTTTCGGTAGGGGATGGAGTCCGCCATTGATGAGCAGGTGAGCTTCTGCGGAGCTTTTGGATTTTGTGTGAAGCAAGGAAGACTTTGCAGGCACGGAAGAAGAAAGAGTGGAAAAAAGTGTGAGGAGGGGAAAGGATTTCAAAAAGTGGAGTGTGTAAAATTATTACCGATTAGTTGAAATGACGCTATTAGCCCTGCGTTTTGTGCGGTTTTACGGGATTTTATGCGATGTGGTGATCTGATCTGTTGGGTCTTGGAGGTCATTTGACCAAAAGACAAAACGAAAGCAAATTTGTGGAACAATGTAAACGACAGCGTCCTAGTTGAAAAACGATGCGGCCCTTCCGTTAATTACGGAGGAACATAAAAGTCGTTTAAAGAAAAGAAGAAAAGGAAAATAAATAGAGTGCAACACAAAGCTCATTGAACACCTGACCAAACATAAGTCATCAACTTACAAATTTGATCATACACATCTAGCTTCTTGTTTTTTTTTTCTTTTTCTTTTTTTTTTGTAACAAACAATTGATCGACTGACTGTACAAGACAATGAAAAGAAAGCGATTTTTCACATTCTATTTTTGTTTTAACACTCATTCCTCTATTTCTAGTCGTATGGTGAATACATCTAAAAAGAATTAGTAGACAAAAACAAACGACTTAGTACAAGGGAGAAAATGATATTGGAATTTTAGTATGTGTATACAAACCAAAATTATTTAACGTTAAATTGAAACTTTATTTAGTTTTATTGATTGGTTTGTTTGTAGATGCGAATGCATCACACGTGTTTTTCTCTACACCTAAATGTGAATTTGAAAAATTTATGTATGAAAAATATGCATAATTTGTTTTTCATTGAACATTTTTTATTTGAGAGAGATTATAATAAGAGTAATGGTCCCTCAACTAAAAATTCATGATTATTGATCTCTTAACTCATCAAAACGTGAAACTATGATCCTTTTATCAACTATGCTAGAACTTGCGTCAAAATGAGTCACGTGTCACACACGTGGCCCTAAATTAAGGGGCAAATATGGAAAACCAAATGAGAAAAATTGTAGTAATGGTGTCTCAACTTTAATCTAATTGGAGAAATGGTTCCTCAACTTTAACTTAATTGTAGCAATAGTCCTTCCAACATGACTCATTTTGACGGACGAAAAGAACCATAGATGCACGTTTTAATGAATTAATGACCAATAGTCATGAATTTTTAATTAAGGGACCATTACTCCAATTATATCAAAGTTTATAAATCATTGCTACAATTTTCTCTTCTAGTAAACTACAGAATTGAAAGGGCCATCAAAGGGTCCGAATTCAAGGTTATCTTTGGGCCGACCTGGGCTCCAGCCCAATTTACACAGTTTGGTTCACCTGGCGTGTCACTTTCTCGGGAAAATGTTTCCTCAAGTCTTCTCCAATTGCCAGGTGAGAAAATCACAGTGAAAAAGGAGAAAGAGAAAAATGGCAGGAACGGAGGAATTTGTGGAAGCAGATAATGCAGAGGCCATAATCAACAGAATCGAACCAAAGTCTCGAAAGATCGAGAGCTTACTCAAACAGTAACACTCTAATCCTTTCCCCTTTTTTCATACAATTTTCTGTAAAACCCCGTAATAATTTGATAATTCGACAAAAACATCAACTGATGGATCCGTTTTTCATCTAGGTACAAGACAGTGGAAGCTCTAAAAACTGCTCTTGAAGGATCGCCTCTCAACACCAAAGACGAGCGCTGCAAGGTTTGTCTTTTCTCTTTTTCCAATCTTCTGTTTGGCTGCCGAGAAAATCAATCGATGGAAAAGAAAATTGATGTGCAAGTTGAGATCTTTAGTTTTCCTTTTCCAGTGGGTTTCTTGGGTACCAATCAGAATTCTCCCCTGTTTAATTATACTTCAATTGTTCTGTTTATTTATTTTTGAGTTTTGCAGTCTGCAAATTGGATAATGGTGCATAGAGCTATCATGGCTATAAAAGATGTGGATGCAATGTTTTCTTCTTTGGATCCCGAGTACTACGACATTCTCATGAAGTGAGTGGTTATACTTTATGAATGCCATCCAATTTTGCTTTCGAGTTTTTGACGTAATCCATTGAATTGAAATTTGAAATTGATGTAGATAATTAACTGTTTTGTTAGAAGTTGGTTTTGTATAGATTTGTTTTCTGTATATAACACGGATGTCGTTAGCAGTTGTAATAGTTTTATTGCACGATTCAATGAGCTTAGAATCATTGGAATTTCTTTAACCAAATATAGAGTACATGTAATGAGTATACTGCAGTGTTTGAGTTAAACTGGTCTAGAATTTCCCATACGGAGAACCAAAGTGTCGTGAGCAATAGAAAATTAGAAATGAACTTGAATTTGACTAGGTAGACTTTTGCTTTGTTGGGGTACGAAGAAACAGGGGCCTTAACTATCCATCATTCAGGCCTTAGAGAGATTTATTTGAATCAAATATGGCAGTTGAATATCTAACTTACAACGGAACTTTGCTCTTTATTTTCCAAAATCTCATTGTTCTATATTTTTGAAGGATCCTAACTTGTATTATTAGTGAATGAGATTAAGGGAAATTCAAGAACAAGGTTCCGTTTTAAGTTCGTGACAGCATTGCATCCTCGCAAGGCCTAATCCTATGCTCTTTAGTCTTTCCGGGGATTCAACACACTTTGACTGTCTACATTTCACAGCATTTTATTGTTGAGACTGGAACCTAGTGGGAAACGAATAGTCTCATTCTTGGTAATCAAAGTATTGGCTTCATGGAATGTCTAGAAAATAAAATATTGAAATAGGCTTCAAAGTAGAAACTGGGACGTATATATGTGTCGCACATTCATGTATGTATGTGTATCATATTATACGAAATATATGTAGGTTTCATCTAGTTTGCTTTTGCTTCCCAAGAAGTCAGATTATAGTCGTTAGAGCATTTCTTATATGCCCTACTTTGGTGAGCAAGTATTCTACCCCAAAGTTTTAGACGATGTTTGGTGTGTGTGTGTGTGTGTGTGTATTTAAGTTTGTGATTTTGATTTATTGATGTTTTTCTCATGAGTTTTATTTATTATTCTTCCTTTTCCAATAAGGACTGCTCTCCTGCCTTTCGTTTCCCCATCTTTGGTATATATACTGACCTTTAGGACGGTAACAATTTGGGGGTTTCTCTCACTGAAGGTACTTGTATAGAGGATTGTCTACTGGAGACCGGCCTACATGCGACCAGTGCCTTCGGATTCATGAAAAACTAACAGAGAAAGCTGGTTTGGGATGCATATTGCGGTGCCTTGCAGACACTGTGAATACGGTTTGATCTCAAGACAATGTTGATATCCTCACTTAGCAAACTACTGCACGCAGCGTCCTTTCGGTGATTATTACAGAAATTCTACTCCAGATCTTTTGAATGTTGGTTTTATTTCTCTGCTTAAGATATTTCTGCGACACTCAAATCCTCAATACATTTGTGTTTGTAGGCATACTTGAATCCAGAGGACAATTCTAGCGTCTCTCTTTTTACTTCATTTCGTTTGGTTTTGTTTGAAACGGCTTCATGTGAATCATAACCCTTAATGTGAGTGAAATTTCAACCAATCTTCATAGAAAAGGAAACGTATTTTATCTGTAGAGAAAATAAGGTGAAGCTAAGTTTTGATCTACTCTCTTTTAGGTACGCGTCTTGGTCTAATGTTATCTTACCAATGTTGAAAGATATCACAAGTTCGAATCACCTTTTCATTAAAAAAAAAATTTCAAAAAAAAGTTCAAGCTTTACGAAGCAAGAAAAAAGCCCTCCACACCCTACTCCCTCCTTTGTTAGAATTGCCACTTTGTTATTTTGTCAAGAGAAGATTTCATCAAGTCCTAATTGAAAAGTTGCCGCCCTTTTAACAAGATATTTATTTTTATATACGCATCAGGCCGAGATTTGTGAGCGATGGTGACTTTTTAAATGTAAAGAGTTTGTGAAAGTATACTGCTTTACTTTAACCTTTATTTTATTGGGTGCTATTAAGGACGAGTTTTGACGCAATGGAAATATTGCTTCTTTGTGACCAAAAGTTCATAGGTTTGAGTCAGAAAATGCCTCTTTGGAACGCAAGGGTAAAGGCTACATAATGTTTCTCTCCCGATCCTCACAAAGCGGGAAGCTTTGTTGACTTGGGATCGCCTTTTATTTTATTGGGTAATTCATAGTCAAACCCCATGATCGAATACATAGCAAGAAGAAAGGGAGAGATTACAACAGTCAAGATCTAATGAAAATTATGAAATAAGTTAACAACAATTGACATTCAAAAGGTTAAGTTATCCACTGAGATTATATAAACAAATTCAGATTATCCTCTGTTAATTACCTTTGAAATTGTCCTACTACTACTTCCAACATCTCAAATAACTTGTTTTGACTTGCTCACCAACTTCTTCACTGTGCCTAACATAAAATTAGTAGAAGCCCAAATTTTTTAAAGAAAAAAAAAGCCAGAGGGGCCTTCAATTACCAAAACCATTTCCTAACATGGTCCACTGCCAAAGACATAGACAACATGTCACATCAGTTTTCCAATTTTCCCCCTACTTGGAACCTGAAATTATCATCGAGGGGCGGAAGCATCAAGCGTTGGATGTTGGATCGGCAATTTTGCCCACGGGCTGATGGGGATAGGGCGTTGGATATTAGGCGGACCATGTTGGCGGGTCGGGGCATTTGCAAGAGTTGTGGAGGAAGCAGGAACAGCAGCAGAAGATGACGAGGATGAGACGGCTACACGCTGGCATGACGGGCACATGGTGAGGGTTGTGGGAGGGTTCATCTGCATGTAGAAGTGTGGTGAGAGTTTGAGTGCTCTAAGCTCTTGCACTTCCTTGTGCAACCTCCTGTTGTCCTCTGTTAGTTTCTCACAGCACCTCTTTAGTAATTCACAATCCACCTCTGTTTGCTTTAACTTAGTCCTGCAGTTAAAACAGAAAACAAAAAATACCATTTTTTAGATGCAACACGTTTGAGGAATATTTATTTATGTATGGGAAACAACTACATCTGGACTCATCTCATTAAATGCTAACACGTTTGAGGAATTGTGATACCAAATTGCTACGTTACACAAGAA